TATTTTCTTTATTATAATTTAATTACTCCTAAAAATCCATGTCATAATTTTTGATTGTTTATTATTTAGTTTATTCCAAATTTTATTTCTTTCTTTGTGCTTATTTTATGCATATATTTTTTTACTTCTAATAAAGTATTAAAAATATCTTTTATACTTAATGATAAAATTCTATTTTTTATAAGAATATCTACATTGACTACTAAATTCTTGATATAGAAAGCAACTAAGATATATACACCTCTCCTTCCAATCCCATTTTAATTCCTAATATATCCTAAGGCTGATTTGAAACTAAAAACTAGATTTAGATTATAATATATTTTTAAATTTATAAGTTTTTTTACTACAAAATTTATGCTTTTTAAAAATAAAGGATCACATCTAGATTTAATATAATTGAGATGGTTAAATAATTTTAGTATTTTTAGAAGATCATTTAATCAATAAAAATAATAAAATATAATATTTAAGCTTATAAAAATTTTAAAAAAATATAAAGAAGAAAAAAAATACCTAAAGAAGAACCTTAATTTTCTTAAAAGAAAATTTAATAAAACTATGACCACTTCTTTTTACAAATAATATCTTATATATAACTTTTTATAATAGAAATTAGTAATTTTAATATATTTATTTTATTATTATAATTAAGAATATTTTTATCATAAAAAATTGAATCAAAAAATATATTTAAATCAAATTTAAGATAATAAAAAGAAATTTTAATCAACTTAGTTGAAATGTAGAATTTTTCCAAAAATCACGACATTCGAAATCAAAACCAACTTCTACTCCAAAAACTAATTCTACATCTATCAATTCTCTCTTTTTAGTAGTTGACTTTGGACTAAGTATTTTTATTCTTTTTTATTTTGGCTAATAAAATATAATATTTTTAAATTATTTTGTAGGATACTAAAAAAAATTCTATTTAGTCATTTCTACATTTTTATACTTTTATGATTTATTTATTTTTTTTTTTATTTTTGTTTTTTTTACTTTAGAGTATGAATATATAAATTACTATAATTCTTATTATTATAATATTATAATAAAGGATCTATTTTTACCATGTAATATATATATATATATATATATATATATATATATATATATATATATATATATATAAAAATTAAGATATTGATGCATATCTTTAAAATGTGTTGCCTTGTTGATTCCTCGTCTTAAAAGTAGAAGATCACAAGACTTTAGAATATCTTTTTAGATATTAGGTTTTGAAATTTTACACAAGAAACATGAAAAAAAAATTATTGATCTAAACTTATAGTCACAATACATACTATATTTCACTCCAACTACTTATATTGATTATATTTTTTAATTATAATTTAATACTATTTTAAAATGGTGCCTCAATTTAATTGTTTTCAACACAATATACTCATGTTATTTGCATCTATACATGGTATTGATTACTTTTGTACACTTTGGTATGAAAAATAATTAATTTTAAAAATAGAAAAAATATACTTAATTTTTTTTTAAAGGTTTTTGTGCTATCAAATCATTATATCAACCATTACTATCTCAAATATATTCTTGTATGAAAATTTATTATTTAATTTTGTAGTAAAAAAAAATTATAATATCATATTTATCTTATAATTTCAAAAAAACAATGCCTATAAGTATTTATCTCTAACAACTTCAATCTCATTAATAATTCTATATTATATTAAATTCTAAGTTCTAAATTAAAATATCTTAAAAAATACTTTAACAAATTCTAAAATAATCTTTAAAAATTATAATTATTAATCTTTGAATTACAATAAAATTATTCCTTTAATTACATTATTAAATTAATTTCAAAAGTAGTATAATTTTTTGTTATTTTCATTACATAATTACAAAAGTTACAATTGATTCAAATTATAAATTGATAGGTTTTGCAATAGAACTATTATTTTTCTTACTTAGCCTTCTACTTTAGGTTTAATAAAGAATTTTAACAACTAGATAATTTAATGCATTTTTGAACTTCTATTCAAATGTTTTTTTAGAAATTAGCATTGTAATATTCTATCAATCTTGTAGATTATAGCTTTTTTCAAATTATAGAATTTTAGATATCTAAGATAGTCTAATTGATTTTAAATTCCAATTTTAATAAATCCTTCTTGATTTGATCAAAATCCTTCCAATTTTACTATTAAGTTAATACAATATTCAACAAGCATATAACATTCTAGTACATTCATATGATTATAAAAAAATCAAATATAGATTAAGCTCAAAATATTTTTAAAAAATCTAAACTTAACATTGTATCTTATACACCTTCTAGTTGTTCTTTCCAAAAACTTCACTTTGATTGTCCTTTGGAAGATCTTTCTAAGTCACAACTTCTATATGTTTTATATTTGAATAAAATTTTTAATACTATCTCTCTATATACATCTCTTATTTTTCAAAAAAAAAAAATCATTTGTCATAGGTCCTTGTTTTTATACTATAGAATCAAATTTTGATACTATCTTACAAACAATTGTGTTGCATGTATCATTTCTACCATTTTTGTGGTAAATTTTACAAGAATTAAGATTTAACTTTGTCCTAGAGATAATCATATTGATTATTTTACCTACCTTATTTCATCTTGACCTATTTATAGTTCTACTAAGATGTTAGAAGCCTTTTTTGATATAAAATATACTTTAAGATAAAAATATATAAGCTAAATTTAATCTATTAGCTATTAAGATATAAAAAATATCTATAAAAATTATATATGTAAAAACTCTATATATCTTAGATCTTTACCAACTTGTTCAGTAAATAGTTATATTAACAACACAACATTATTTGAGTTGAATAGTCTTTTACATTATTGTTTAGATTATCTTATTCTTGACTTACTTTTCAAATATAGTTTCTTTAGAAACCTTATTCTAGTTCCATCTTAGACCTTATAGTATTAATTTTTAATAAGACAAAAATATTAAGAGTATTGTTGGAAGTCATAATTTGATTTTTAGTTTTGACATTTGCATTGCGACAAAATATGATTTAATTTTTTTTTTTTTTTTTTTTTTTGTCATGATATTCTATTAATATCGTCTCTATTATATTCTTTTTGGTTACTTAAAATTAATAATGTATTGGTTGAGGCAACAACAATTGACATCCAATTGCTTAAATTGCTATTTTCTTGAGCCATTGTAGTATAGATCATAGTTTCAAATATTAGCCTTAGGTCTAAAAGCATATTTTTTTTAACTATTTTATAGTATCTTTATTCTTGTTTTTTTTTATTTTTTTGGTTTAGAAATGACATCAAAAGTAAATTCAATTTTGAATATCTAAAAGGTTGAATACCATATAGACATTATAAAAAAATTGTATTTTTTGAGGTTTGATACCATTGCAATTATGGTGTTTCTTTTTTTACTAGGATTTTTAGTTTTTGCAATAGAAACTAGAAGATTTATCAATCTATATATGAAATCACTTGAATTTTGATATTGATTGAGAATTTTTTTAATCTTTATCTAAATTGCTTTATTTTGTTTATGTTGGCTATCTTAAATACTAGAAATTATGAAGATTTCATGTAGCAATTATATATATATATATATATATATATATATATAGCCATTGATTCCAATGTATTCTTTTGTTTTATTGCAATAGTTATTTTACTAGCATGCATCTTCTTCTTTACTATTAAGGTCCAATTCTAGGCATTCTTAACTCATCTATTACAGGCATAAATTTGTCTTTATATATATTTTTCCTTATTTTGCTAGTTTTTTTAATAATATTTACACCATATCGTTTATTTATTTTTTTATTTTTTGTACTTAAACTCTTATATCTCTTAATTTATATCTCTATTTTTATTTTTAATTTTAATTTTTTTCCGTTATAGTTGATTAAGAAGTAATATTCAATAGTTTTATGTTTTTTTTGCAAAGTAGAATCTCCATAAAATATGCCAATTGTTGTAGTCAATCTCAATTTATTTTTATTTGCACTACTTGGTTGGTAACTATAACCTTCAATTCTAAGAGTTTTGTGGATCACTTTCTCAAAGTTGGCTTTTATATAGGGAAGTCCTTTTCAATAATTATGTTTAGAAATATAGAACCATCTATTGATATGTCTCTAAAATTTGTAACAGTTTTTTAAATTGCTTTGCAAATGACAAACTAATCATGAAATACAAATAAGAATATATATATATATATATATATACATTCACATTAAAATAGACTATTTCAATTATTATTGTATTTGTATCTACAACGATAGTATGAAGTTGTATTCTTATTAAAAATCTAATGTAGCTCCTACTATATTTGATTGTTATATTATCCTCCAACAATACCTATGTTAGATACAACCACTCTACAACACTACACTCTCAAAACATTTGTCATTTCTTGTTGTAAATCTTTGTTAGTGGTTGTGAAGCTTATTGTTTGTTTACAAGACCTATTTTTGCTAGGTTCCACCTTCTTGCACTCTAAATGCATATGAATCCATGTAATTAATTGTGTATGATTAAAATAATCTCAAATCCTAAATTAAATGCACCCTTCTAAAAAAATATAGCTTCTATCAATCATTGTGTTGTTTTAAGCATTCATTTATAAATTGTGACATTTTTAATTTTAAAATACAAACATGTTTACTTACATACTTTTAAAGAACAACAATATATGATTCTAAAAAAAATCTATTTAATAATATTTGGCACATATTAACAATTCATAATTTTTTTTGATAAATGAATAATATAAATAAACCCTCATATATTGTGAAATTGTATTTTCAATTTAAAATATACATTAACTTCTGTTCTTAAAAAAGTAAAAAAGTAAAAAATAAAATAAAATAAAATAAATACTTTCTTAAAAAATATCTTCTAAATGAAACATTTAATTGAAATTAAATTTCCACTAATCCGTAGCCAATTCCCACCTCCACAACCCAATTCAACTCATCACATCAAGCATGGTGGAAACCCTGATTTGCGAGCTCCAAACCCTAATTCGTAAGATGTAGCTCCTCACAGCACGTCTTCCTCGTAATTCAATCGTCTGCGATACTTTTGGGTTGCGATCGCTGCCCTGTAATGCAGCCTTGTGAAGCACGGATCTTGTTATATGGCCTCACTGGACATCCTTACATACCTGGAACTGGAGTTTGGGTACAGGCAATGCTGCCCTGGACAATACATGGTGCAAATCCGACAAACGGATTGAAACTTTTTGATTGCTTGAGCTCAATTGTCAAAGCTCTTCTCACGCCGAAGTTGGAGATGGAGTGGATTTTAAAGCAGAGGAGTTGAAGCCTTGGACTCGTAAGACCGAAATTTGGTTCACCTTGGATTCACTAACGCTTCTTCATCTGAACAAATTTAGATTTTCTTGTGTGATTTGATAAGCTGTAACATACTGTAGTATTCTGTATGATTACTAGCACACCTATTTTTTCAAGTTTTCGTCTTTATACATGGATCGGAAGAGCTTGAGATCACTGAACCCGTCGACGGTTGTCATTCTTCCGACGTTAGCATCTTCTCGACTTCCTGCTGCTTGGCGTCAACCTGGTGCGGTGGAATTTCGTATACCGAAGCTTTCATGTGCCGTGTTTCTCACTCAGGTACAGCTACTGGACTGTAAGGAAGCCACCATGGAGGAGATGGAGTGTGTCGAAGCGAAGAAGAGGAATGGATTGAGTCAGACAGACATATGGATTGAGTAATGCTGTCTACTTTTTCTGATCAATCATCTCATTTTTCCTTTGTAAGGTGTGTTAATGAGAGGAATATTCTAGGTTTTATGTTTGTAGAAATCCGATGGACATTTCAGTGGAATCGATGCTCATTGATGAGTAACCAAAATTGGAGATTATCCTGGAGAGACTCAAGAATTTGGTACAATTCTTAGGTTGAAATCTATGATTTGAATTTGCTCACACCTAGCTTTGGTGACAACAGGGAGCAAGATGCGATGAAGGAGAAATTGGTGATGTATGACGATTTTCCATGGCGACTCAACACCACCTCCTCGCAGGAAGGCTCCGCTCCGCTCCCCGAAGACTCAGGTGGAGTTATAGATAGTAGCAAGCTCCGCTATGTTGGAGGCGTGGATCTGAGCTTCGTAAAGGAGAACAGTTCGTTTGCTTGCGGGGCGTTGGTGGTCATGGATTTGGAAACCATGCAAGTAGCGTATGAGGATTATGAAACTGTGAAGCTTACCATGCCCTACGTTGCTGGATTCCTCGCCTTCCGCGAGGTTTTATGCCTCCCTCTTTCCCGTTGCTTTCTCACATCAGGATCTAGATAGCCTGGCTCGCTCTGTCATTGAAACTTGTATACAACTATGCTAATTATGTATTGCCTTGGTTATAATTCACTAGACTCCTGTATTTCTCGGCCTTCTCGAGAGGATGGCAGCAAAGGCACCCCTTCTGTATCCTCAGGTGCATTTCATCCTACTCTAAAATCCCTGAAGTTCTATATATTTTAGGTGTGTGTTTTTCTCCAGTGGTTTTAATTAGGTAGATAACTATTTTTAAAGCTACTGCTCGCCAATTTTGCTGTATCGTGTCTTACTATTGGTTGGATCTCATGTGGGGAGGCAGCTATTGATGGTAGACGGAAATGGCATTCTACATCCTAGAGGTGCTCATTTTCAATATCTCCTTTATGAAAAGTGGTAATCTGATTGCAGATGGTGTGGATGGATGTTTTGGTGGATAAAATTTTAATGCGTAGTCGTGATTCGGGCTTGCTAGGGGCATTCGATAAACCTTACAAGTATAGAGTTTATTTTTAAGGTTTTGATGTTCTAGTTGAATCGTGTCTCTGTTTCAGGTTTTGGGTTAGCCAGTCACTTGGGTGTTTTAGCTGACATCCCAACTATAGGCATCGGAAAAAATGTAAGTCGAATGTCAGTCTCCTCTTAAGCTTGCAATGTCAGCTTATTCAGCAAGGTGTTTAGGTTTACGTCTTTGTGTCGAATTAGGATTGCCGATATGTTCACAGATGCTCTGATGCAGCAAATAAACCACCATCAGTACTTTTCTTAAAGTCCGGATTGAGGATTTCTTTCGGCTTTGCTATGTCGGGTGAGGTAGCAACCTAATAGAGGATGTTAACCTAAATTACTGAGAAGCGCTACATGTGTCTCACCCCTACAGCTGCACCATATAGATGGTTTGACGAATCTTGAAGTTAGGCATATCGTCTCGGAGACCAACTTGCAGCCTGGTGCAGGGATGCCTCTCGTTGGAAGAACCGGTAAAGTCTGGGGAATGGTATAAATCTCTTCTCATAGACCTGTCTTTCGTTTACCTAAGGTTATGCTGCTGGTATATATATAGCTATTGTGGTGCATTTGCTGTTCATGTATTCGCTACAGTTGAAAAGTGGATTATCAGGGTGAAATAACAATAATAAGTTGACAGCAGTTACGCTCTGCTAGAAACAGTGACATTTGTTTCTTCGATTGACAGGCTTTTAGGAGCCATGAAGGCTGTTCAAAACCAGTGTTCATTTCCATCGGACATCGAATTTCGTTGGATACTGCTGTAGAGGTTGTTCGTCGGTGCACTCTGCATCGAGTTCCAGAGCCTGTGCGACAGGTTAGTATTCCATTCCATTCTCTGAAATCTTGTGTAGGATAACTTGGAATGAGCTTATGTCGTACTTTCTTGCCAAAGGTGCAGGCGTCTCACCTACGGGTTTATATCAAATGTAATCTTTCCTTCCTGCTCTAATTCTACTAATTAATTGCATAACTATGCTGACACTTAAACTGGAATGGAGCAGGCAGATTTGAGGTCTCGAGAGTATCTACGTAAACATCCCATATCTGTTTCGCAGCCGACGTGACGTACCTTCAGTTGAATATCAAGTGGTATCTGGCATTGGGTTAGCTCTCAATATTTCAAACTGTTGGAGATATACAGAGTATCCTACATGCGACGGACAGGTGCTCGCTAATTAGTTGCTGCTTGTGCAGGGAGGTCTAAAGAAGGGAATTGGCCAATGAAGATTTGTTGCTATGAATGACAGCTCGCAACCTGGTCCTTGAAGGCCTAAATGCATTAGCCCCAGCGAGGGACGATTGTTTGGTTTCCTGGTTCATTTACTAGATGATTTGCCTTGTAAAATTTCGATGTAGAAATACCAAGTGTAAGATTTGTTGATGCAACAATTGTGTTTCATAATTTGTGGTGAAGTTTGGTGTGGATATTGAAGTACTTCTACAACACAGTACAACTTTTTTCGGTTAACACAGAATTTTTGTTGTCTAGCTGCGTGCCAGCAAACAACTGCACTCATTAGGAGCTTTGTCTAAGTGAAGCTGCAACAGTATACCACGCTCAAACTGAACAGATCAAACTGCTCGAATCCCTGGAATTCCGCAACTCATCCTAACAAATATCTTTTTCCAGAATGGCCTTGAACACTCTAAGAGCTTGGTGTCACAGACAATCAAGATTCGCAGATGACGAACTCATACATGATGGGAAAAAGAGCTGTTGTTCCTACATATCAACCACCTGCAGCTCACAATTTCGAAGTTTCAAAAACAGGGAAAAACTACAGGGCATCCATTTATTGCGAGGCAGCAGTGAAGGGAATGGAATGTAGGAAAGAATTCCCGGAATTCAGCTGGCGAAATTGACAGTTATTGGGATTTTCAAAAGAATGATTGCTCAGGGAGATCAGCAGGAGAAGATAGTGTTAATTAGGTGGTCAAAAACAAAATGATTTAGCTCTACCTAAGCAATGGACACTGCTTCACACAACATGAAAACGAAGTAGAAAACGGTTGTGGATGGCCAATTGTATTGTGTGATTTGTGGTGGTTTGCTATATGAACAGTGCATAGGAAAGGAGGCAGGTTGCATTGCCATGCTCAGTTTTTCTGGAGTAACGTTTAAATTAAGTTTCTAGAACTATCGTATGTGAGGGTTTTGCTAGTGAAGTGTGAGGTATGGAGATGGGCGTTGTACAAGGGTGTTGGCGTGCTACTCAACACATTTATGACTTCTTTAAATAGTGAAAATCTAAATCTATGAGCAATGTATGTGTATTGTAGTGTGCAGTCTTTACACTGGAGATCTGCCATACATGGGTCGTGGTTTAATGTAATTTCATTAATATCTTTAATTTTTGAACATACAAACTTGAATCCTTTAAAAGGATTTTTGTAGTATTGTGTCCTGCTTCACACAGATCTGCTACACGCGGGTTTTTGTTTTGTTTTTAAAAAAAATTAAAATAGTACATTTTTCACATCTTTATAATAATAGAAAGACCGAAGTCACAGTCTAGAGCAGTGTGATAGAGCTTAGGTACCACAATGTGACATTCTCACAAAGGACGTTTCCTACTTAAGAGTGGGGTGTATTATTATATATTTTAAATTTTATATAGATTCAAGAAATTTGAATCCTAATATTCTGTGAAGTTTAAGATACTGCAGTGAGAGAACTTTAGAGGAAGTGCATTATGCAAGGATTTTTTACTTTAGTATTTTTATAATTTTGAATTTTAAACAAAGATTTGTAATTTTCAAACACCGTGTATTTTATTTTATTTTACTGATATTAATATTTCAAAATATTGAGAAGTATGTTTTCAAAAAAAAAAAAAAAAAGAAAAAGAAACTCTTAGTACTTTTCTTATGTTGAAGCAAATTGTGGATGGTTAACAAAATTATAGACTACAAAGAGGGCAACATGGTTAGATGGATTATTGGAATTCTACACAATGGTATTATTACATATGATCAGTCCACTCCATAATTGTCCTAAAAAGACAAGTATATATATTAACATACTCATTTGACTAATCTTTCCAAATGATATCAAAATTTATGGAACTTTTGCACCTCAAACATCATGACCTCAAAAACAAAACACAGCTTAATCTTATTTATCTAATAACAGTTATATTTTTATAACATGTGTCTAACAAAACAACCCAAAAGAATGTTTGATACTGCAGGTAGATCAAATTTTTGAAAACAAACAAATCTAGTCCAAGGTAGAAAACAGAAAACTCAAGAAATGTGCACTACTACCCTCACTGCCTATAGCACTACAACTTCACACATTCAATTCCAACCCTACATCACCCATGATAACCCTTTTTTGTTGACAAGAGTGGTACACTTTTTTACACACAATCAATCACACAAGAAAAAAGTGTGGTGACACTAGATGGGGACCTATACATATTCATTCCTCTGCCAACATGCAAAGTGCAGCCAATATTGCTTTGGCAATGGCCAAGGCATCCTGATCCAAGCAAGAGGGATAAATATAGACCAAAATGGCATGTTATCAGCAGATGAAGAGATAAGAAAAGTCATTTAATTATATATATATATATATATATATATGTACATATACATACACACATAGAGATATATATATCGGGAAATGTTAAAATGACCCACCCATTTATTAACTTGCCGTCTACTCCGTTGGGAGGGGATAAATTAAGTCTGAAGACGCGGTTTCATGCAACAGCTCCAAGAACCGGACGGGATGGCATCCAGCCGTTTCGCGAATCAGGGCCCCGGGAACATGACCGGAAGATTCCGGTAACCCCACCGCATCCGATGACCCACAAGTCATGACCGCCCTTGGCTTGACCGCGATGCTACATAAACGTTTCCAACCACATGGTTTGCTTTGAATAGTGTTTGTTTGCATCAACGGTCAACTAGATGTGAGTTTTACGTGCTGGGATTGTCGAATTTGGTGTGGAGTTGAGTTTTGTGCTGGTGGGAGTGGCGATGGGGGAGATGAAGGGGGTTCGGTTGGCGGTTATGCTGGCCCTTCTGGCGGCTTGTGGTGTCTTTGCTGAGGCAAGCCCTCGCAGGATTCCGTTGAAGAAGAAGTCCATCGATTTGCAGTCGGTGAGGAGCGCCGCGGCGCGCACGCTGCAGAGGGCGAATGCACTGGCGGGGAGTGCCAATTCGCTGAGGGGTGGGGATGCCGTGGATTTGAACAATTACATGGACGCGCAGTATTTCGGAGAGATCGGCATTGGGTCGCCTCCTCAGCCTTTTTCCGTCATTTTTGACACCGGGAGCTCCAACCTCTGGGTCCCCTCTGCCAAGTGCTACTTGTCGGTGCGTTTCTAATTGTGGTTGTTTTGTGGGTTGTCTCGATTGGACTGAGCTACTTTAGGTACTAGTTGTGGCTTTCGTGTGTAATCCTGGGAAAGGGGGTCGACATTCGTGCTGAGGCTTTGGAATTATTGTAAGCTTCATATAATCTAAATTAGGAGTCGGAGTTGCCATATGCTTCGTTGTGCCCATTGTGGAGGTAGTATTCCATAATATTTTTATCTTGTTTTGTTCCATTCGTTTATGTCATCCCCGATTTTCTCAGTGTGTGGTAGTTGGACTGACAAAGCGGTCCATCTGTTATGCAGCTTGCGTGCTACTTCCATCGAAGATACAAATCAAGCAAGTCGAGCACCTACAAGGAAGATGGTATGGAGGAGGTTCCAAACCTTAACTTTGAAGCATTAAGCTTTATATCCTCTCTCCTCTTTGGTAATATATGCAGTTTGCGAATTTGTAGGCGTAATGCTTTCATGTTTTGTAGGAACGTCGTTCGCCATTCAATATGGCACTGGGTCCATGGAAGGTTTCTTGAGCCAAGACGACGTTACTCTTGGTGACCTCACAGTGAAATGGCAGGTGAATTTGGAAGAATGATTCGCAAAAGAGGGTTTTGACCTGGTTTTCACCGTTAAACAATAATGCAGGAGCTTATCTGATCTGTCTATACATCATTTTCAGCAGTTTGTAGCTCGAGGAATACCTGATTTCGTAGTACCTTTTGCAGGTCTTTGCTGAAGCTACGAAGGAGCCTGGTGTCACATTTGTCTCAGCCAAGTTTGATGGCATTCTCGGCCTTGGCTTCAAGGAGATTTCCGTTGATCGAGTAACCCCGGTGTGGTGAGTGAAATTTACATATTTTATGTATATATGTTACTTATTAGGCGGACTTACCTAAGTTGGTTGACCAACATGACTATCGCATTAGGTTTTGGATATCTAAGTTTTCGTTCTTGTTTCATCAGGTACAACATGTTGGATCAGGGGCTTGTGAAGGAACCTGTCTTTTCTTTCTGGTTGAACCGAGACAGCGATGAATCTGACGGAGGAGAGTTGGTATTCGGCGGCGTTGATCCTGACCATTTCAAGGGGGAACACACATACACCCCTGTCACACGAAAGGGTTACTGGCAGTTCGATCTTGGTGATGTGACCATTGCTGGGCGCAGCGTTGGATTCTGTGCACAGGGTTGTTCTGCTATTGCTGATTCTGGCACGTCACTGCTTGCGGGGCCATCTGTGAGTTCCCTTTGGAGCTCTTGCCCTTTTGAGGTGCATAATGTATCAACAATGTTGATTTCAAGAAATATCTTACCTGTACGTTGAACTTTATTAACACTGGAATTGTCGCTTTACAGGGAATTGTGGCTGAAATCAATCAAGCTATTGGTGCAACTGGTATTGTCAGTCAGCAGTGTAAGATGGTCGTTCAACAGTACGGCGAGCAGATTGTCGAGATGCTCGTGGCGCAGGTAACCGAATGCATGTCCATAGTACAAATAAATTGGGTTGTATTGTTAGCATTGCCATAGAGTTTCTAGTCTTATTAGAAGACTGATGGACGATCACATAATAGTATGCTCTTTCCCTCCTGTAAAGATCTAGGGGAGGTTAGTCAGGTCTATGTGTTTGCTTGGAATAGAGGGAATTATATCTGAAGTGATGATTTTGCTCCAGATGAACCCAGGGAAGGTATGTGCTTCGCTTGGTTTATGCCAGCTTGCAGCTGGTGAGCCAGGCATCGCAAGTGTTTTGGAGAAAGAGGAGGTTCATTCCCTGCATGCTGACCCACGGTGCACAGTTTGTGAGATGGCTTTAGTGTGGGCTCAGAATCAGCTGAGAATGAACAGAACCAAGGAGGAGATAGATGCTTACTTGAATCAGGTAGCCGAAAGAAGTCACGAATTTCTTGGTTGTTTGAGCGATGTTGATAATAGTTTAGATCTTGTTTTCTTGCACTAAATTTTATTGCTTTTTACGGTTGTGTTCTCTTATTTTATTTTATTTTATTTTAAGCTCAACTTTTTTCGTTTTACGCTCACTTGCAATTTTCTGTACCTATTATTCTACAGCTTTGTGAGCGATTGCCTAGTCCAAACGGCGAATCAGCTGTGGATTGCAATGCGCTTTCTTATATGCCAAACGTCGGCTTTACCATTGCTGGAAAGTCTTTTGAGCTCACACCAGAGCAGGTTAGTATTTGTACAGCTGTTGCGACTAACATGCAGATGTCTTATGTTCTTTTCAAATGCCAAAGCATGTCAAACTAGATTGAGTTGCACCTCCCTGATTAATAATTATTTTATTTTATTTTTATTTTTATTTTTTAAATAGATTTTTAAATGATTTGCGTTGGCTGTATTAACTCATTCAATTTCTGAACCTTGATTTTCTAAAAATGTTCTAATATTAGTCTTTGTTGTGGTTTTCTTAGTACATTCTAAAAATTGGGGAAGGACCCGAGAAACAGTGCGTCAGTGGTTTCTTGGGACTTGATGTGCCGCCTCCAGCAGGACCCCTCTGGATTTTAGGAGATGTGTTCATGGGAGTCTATCACACGGTTTTCGACTTCGGAAACTCTCGTCTCGGATTTGCGAAGGCAGCCTAAAAGATGACCCGCCCCACTTATCAAGTTGCCATCCCTCTTGTGGAGGAAATGATGGTTGCTGTTGAAGTGGTCGTTCTGTGGCATACTATGTTCTCAAACACCCTCCCAGCTCGATCTATTGTACATTGGTATGGTTAAGGTCGTAGTGTTGACTCGAAAGTTGGGCACGCTGAGACAACAGAGTGAGTGAATTGGTGTGGACATGAAACCAATTTTTATCTTATCTCTTGGGAAATGCATCTTGATTCACCCTGACAGACGATGGTCCTCGTTGGTGCTGTTATTTTCTCTTTGCAGATGCCAGCTCAGTTCATTTGATGGTGTTGAAGGCCGTGGAAAGTTTGCATGGTCATGGCGGCATCTTTTGTCTTCTGCAACTTTTTTTTTTTTTTTTTTTTTTTTTTTTTAAATTTTAAAACAATCAATGATGGTTTTGTAGCAATCTCAACCGTTGGATCAAATTTGGTCTCCTAAAGGAATGTGAAGTATGTACTTCATTTAAAAGAAAAATATATTTTAACTAAGTTTTTCTTTGTATTTATCTTTGTATTGCATCTTAAGACAATTGTCTAAGATTATGAATTTACTTGATTTATGTTGATTTACTGTTTCATTACTATTTTTAGAATCTTTTAAATCAATTGGGAATTATTCTCCTTTGTAAGAAGCCTTGGAAAGGTTTTTTTGACAACTCAAGTGCTGTTTGATGATAGCTTTAATTATTAGAATAATATAATCACTCTTTAAACATGTACGTTTTTAGCCAATATGAATTTGTAGAAAAGCAATAGTTATTAATGAAGAAGTTGAAGAAGCTTCAAATATCAACCATTTTGATAAATGATATAAGTGAAACATATTAAGTGTAGATTATTACTATAATACTAAAAAAATAATAAAAAATAATAGGAATCAAAGTAAGAAATTACTTTTATCTATTGGAATTGTTTTGGAATGACAAAAAATATAGTAGAAAAAGAAAAAAGATAGAAACAGAAATAAAAGCAACCAAAAGTCCCTCAAAGCAACTATATCATACATACATTAGATAATTATTAGTTAGATAGAAAATTTTAAAAAAAATTTCTTTTATTTTCTTTTTTCTTCTAATAATTGCTTTGCCAAATCAATGTTGGACATAAAATAAATAGATGCTTCTTGTTTTTATTTTATTTTATTTTGTTTGAATTATTGCAATTAATTTATATTGAATCCTTAAAACATGTATAATTTAAAAATAAAAGGCATTTCCATTCTTTTTTAACTTTTTTGCTTGAAGATGTATTACTTTAAGAAATCCAATTTTTTTTTGAAAGCTTATTAAATTTGAATCTAATTTTAACTATCCAACCTTACAATCATATTAAAAAGTTGTAACTCTTGGCAAGTTTAAAATATGTCTTGATGAATGTAATATTGATTTTGTATTCTGAAAAAAAAAATTATATTTATGAAATTTATTGTATTTTTTTACATGGTCATGAAATTTTATTTTTTCTTTTATATTAATTATTTACACTATTTTTACAATTACTTCCAACTATAAAGAAATTGCAAGTAATACAATCAACTCTTTGAAATTATAATATATGTATTTTTATATTAAAATATTCATTGAAAAACTTCTATTTTTCTAACCACAATAAAAATGTCAAATTTTTGTTTGAAGTTTTTTATTTCTATTTATTTATTTATTTTATTATAATACTTGTAAGAAAATTGAACATCTTATTTGATTGTAATTTCTTGAATGAATATATATTATTCTATTTTAAATTTAACCTAATATAATAAATTTAAAAGTTTATTGGCATTTTTTTCTATTAGACTTGTAAATTATTCTTTTAACTTAACTTTTTTACTTGTTGCGTCTTTAAAAAAAGATGTAGATAAATATATTCTTTTATTTCTAAAAAAATATTCACATATTTAATGAAGATTAGATTTTTTGAATAATAATAATTCAAAGCTTTATTTAATTTTTTTTTCTAAATTATGAATAAAACTCAAATTTTGACAATATTTTCTAAAGTTATTCAAATATATTTTTTAAAAATAAAAAAAGATTACAAATCAATCAAGTTTTTGAAACATTTTTCAAATATTTAAACTAAAATTTGAAATTCTAAATTGTAGCAAAAATAAATTTTAAAATCAAAATAAGAAATATGAGTATTTTTTTTTTGCAAACATATTTAGAATAAAATAAGAATTATATTTTTTATTTTTTAAAATTTTAATTTATCTAAGTATATATTAATTATATATTTTAAGCATTAAGATAATTCTAGCTATTACTTTTTTTTACATGAATTCTTCAATTATTTCTAGTTTTAATTACTTTTTATTTACAAGTAACTTAAGACCATGTCAAGGACATGATTTACAAACAATAAAAACCACAATATATTCTTATGTTATTAGAGAAGAGTAGATATTCATTCAAAGATAATATAATATTAGAACTAAAATTGCTATTACCAAAGACACGAAGATTAGAGACTCTTGAAACAAAAGTAAGAACATGAAAAACATTGACAAGAGTGAAGAAAGTCTCATTCTTGCCTCTACATATACTATCTAAGTGGGAGCAACAACAAGTATATAACTTGTAAGACAAATTTCTTACATATGTGCCACATGTCCAACTTTTATCTTAAGTCACCAACATGTCCAATACATGATTAACTTGTTAGCCAAGTATTCTATCTACGAATTATCTACAAAGGCTTTAAAAAGTCCAATTTGTAAATATCAAGCTTCTAAGAAGCTTTTCTACAATATATTAACAAAGTTACTTCTATTTATTTCTATCTAATTCTTTCAATCTAGATAAATATGTATGTCTATGATATTATTTTTCTATTCTAAGGAGAAGTTCTATAATGTGCAATAATCACATGTTGAAGAAGTCTAAGATGGGAAATATTACTTATACTACATACTTTGATCTTTGTTCCATTTGAAGATAGTTGATAAGTCTTTTTAGCTATTAATAGTGTTTCATATTAAGACAAAAAGACTACTTTGTTATTTAATCATTATTGAGATCTTTCTAACTTCCTTTAAATAAAAAATTTGAAGCATCATTAGAGGTAGTTCTTACCTCTAATAATATCACCAAACATTGAGAGTCTTTTTTAAGGTTGTGATACTAATTATATTATATTTCAACATCTATTCAAGGAAGGACATGTTATTCATGAAGATCTTCATCTCTATTACATTATCTTGAAGATTACAAAAATTTGAATGCTTTATTTAGTACTTTAACAAATGGTAATTTTTAAGTTAAATTTATTAGTTATTAATTATCTATTTTTTTAATATTATAAGTAGATAGAAATAAAAAATATGGATAAAAAATAGATTGCTATCTTCACTAATCTTTATTTCTTTTATAATAAGATTTTTTTTGACTGTTCATCTTGATTTTGATGGATGTTGTTAATAAAAAAATATTGACTTTCTTCCTTGGATATGTAAGATTCTTGGTTGCCTTCTATGTACATTTATTAATATTATATTTATACAATTGTATAAGATATTATAACCTATTTTGGAGCCATCTTGAATTTAAAACTTTAATGACTTTGAACTCTTGATTATTGCCTATTTTTATAAGAAGAAGTGGCATTTGTCTTCTTTTTGGTGTATATATTATCTTGTATGGATTAAAAAGAGCCACATAGAATAAATAATGAATTTTTAAGACTTTAGTAGGTATAATTAATAAGCAATTAGATTGATTTATTTATAAATAGGAATTAGTCAAAGTTTATGATAATCCAACTTATCACAATGGTGGATAGTCTTGATATCATAATAAAGTAACTACACTTTATTACCAATGTCAAATTAAGATTGTTCCTTGTAATAGGCATCTGCATTGATCTTTTGTTGTTATTGAGATTCTTTTAATTGTGTCTTTATTGTTGCATGTAGCTTTGATAAATAATTTTTGAAATCTTTTGCCACAAGATTATCAATTTAAAAAAAATATTAAATATTAAATAATGGATAATAAATATAATTAATAAAAAAATATTTATTTAATAAAATAATATTTATTCAATAAAATAATATTTATTCAATAAAATAATATTTATTTAATAAAAAAATATACTATATTATTATAGACAAAATTTTCCAATGCCAAAAGAGTTGTCTAATCATCTTAATGGTATATTTGAAATATTGCTTTAAAACTAGATTCATCCATTCCATTTGTTTATAAGTTTGAAGATAAAAAGAAAATAATAGTTTTTTTTTTATTGACTTTCAATATTTTGAAAAGGGCTCTTTAAAACCTTGATACAAATTAAGTACTTCTATCAAATATAATATCTCTTGAATATCCTTGATAGCTGTCACGGACACAAAATAGAGACTTGAAATCTAAGAAGAAGTTCAAGAAGAAGTGGCAAAACTAGATTAAACAGATGAGTACAAGAACAACACCAGAAAGGTGAGCTAGAACTCCAAGAGATGTGTTGTCGAGACTGAAGAACCCTTCAGCCTCGACTCCTATATATACTACTGAATAGGAAGCTTCTCGAGCTACTTCCGCTAACTAGGACGCTTCTCCAACAACTTCTACTAATTAGAAAACTTCTCGAGCAACTTCCTAGAATCTATCAGAATATTCTAGAACCTTCTAAGAATATTCTAGAACCTTCTAAGAGAATCTTTAGGGAATATTCTAAGAATCTTCTAGAACCTTCTAAAGGAATCTTTAGAGAATCTTTAGAGAATATTCTAGAAGAATATTCGAAGAATCTTCCAATGTATGTCCATGACATCACCTCCTCTTCTAGCTTCGAGGTCTCCGAGAAGCAATGTTATTATCAGTCAATACCAACGCAAGAAAATGAAAATCTGTCGCATCACATCCGCTATGAATTCCAATTGTTGTTCGCGAGGCAAATGATTCATCGGCCCTTGGAGCCAACGGTAGTGACCAACACCTTCAACCTCTGACCAAGCGTGGACTTCTGTGTCTTCATTGTGAAACTGTCCTCCAAACACACCTTCTGGCTGACCATCGTAGGCAGGCTCGACCTCAAATACAATTACTAGCGATCTGTTGCTCGGTATCCTCCGACGTCGTCGTGGTGCAGGCGGTTCTTCATCTCGCGATCGTCTTCGTGAGCTAGTCGCTTGAGATGACATAACAAGTGTAGTATCTTGACTATCCATGTCTAAAGGCTAAAATGATGAGAGCAAACTATAGTTGCTAACAAAGTTCTACACTATCGAACTATGGGTTTTGGAGGTGCCCTCCTCCCTTTTTATGCTACTTGATGAGCAAGCTTCAGCAAGAAGCTATCGTTGAATCGGCTTAGGTTTATGAGGATATCGTTGATGAAATTCTTGTACCTTTTTTGGCGCATTGGCAAGATTTTCGGCACGCT